TACTACTACTACTACTACTACTACGACTACGACTACGACTACGACTACGACTACGACTACGACTGCTACTACGACTGCTACTACTGCTACTACTACGACGACGACTACTACTACTGCTACTGCTACCACCTGTGACGACGACGACGACGAGGACGGCCGCCACTGCCACTGCTACTGGTGCATTCTGTTGCTATTGCTTCTGCTACCACTACTACGACAACTACTACTACCACTACTACTACTACTACTACTACGACGACGACGACGACGACGATGGCGACGACGGCGACAACGACGACGATGAAATCAGTTTGCACCGGAAGTTGCAGGTCTTGGAGAAAAGACGCTAGAGAACCGAGTGGTTGGGGCCTACAACTCAATTGTGCGCGGAACACAGCGTCGTTGGCTTTAAGTCTTGCACCTTACCTACCATATACTTAAAGAAAACAGAGTCTGCTTCACAGGCCGTGAACGATACAGAGCTAATAACCTTTTCGTGATCGAACGCACTGCAAACTGGTACATGCAACATTTCTAGCCCGCATACACCATCACAGAGGATGAAGGTCACATGGACGGCTATTGACAGATGCACCGCATTTGGCAAGTTTTACAAGGCCTTATGGTAGATGATTTGCTGTATAACTGTATTATAATTGCTTATTTTTGAGCTCTCGAGTTTATGACATCTTTTGTTTGATTGTCTTGATGCACGGCAGGCGCCATGTTTCCTCTGGAACATCGGGGGTTCTCATGTTCACACCAGATCACCCAGCACAACAGTTCCCAGTGTCGCTTCTTGTTTTTTGGTGCTTGTCGAAGATCGTCACATGTGTAGTTTCAGAGACCATTGGTGAGGCCGTTCGGCTACGTGGACATTGAGTTTGCCTGGCACGGAGCCTTGTTGGCCTGGTGGCCCAGGGTGCCTGTGTGTGAGCTTGTGTATGCTTGTGTGATATACGCGCATCCAAACAGACATGGCGGCCATGGCGTGACAATAGTACAAGACGACAGATGGTTGCGCAATGCAGGTTGGCGCTCAAGCTGGAGGATTGGGGAAGGCATTCTTCCTTCGTCTTGGCAGTTCAAGTAATGCAGCGAGTAGCCACGAACGCCGACATGCTGCCGTTAGCTTCAGGTGCCTGGCTTTTATTTCCTGGCCCAGAACAGGGAAAATTTGGGCCGACTGCGGAAGGAATTGCGCACGGCAGTGTCAGAGCCTGACATGACACATGCCGGGAGATGTTTGGCAATGCAGCTGCAGTAAAATGGTGTAACAACTTCAGCTGGTTTCCCGGGCTAAGTTCTGTACCTCTTCAGGTCTCAAGCAATGCGAGCACCAAGATCACAGCTTGAGAGTCGGGCACTTTCTGGTTCCTGTACGTTCTGTGGCGAACGGTTTGACCTCGTCGTGCTTGACACCTCGAGGTATGGCCCAAGCGGCTGTCCGCAACGTCCTTAGCCTGTTCAGAGCTCAATAAGCACAGCGTCCGTGTGAACAGAGGTTGCAGCTTTCCCTTGGAGCACTGGCAGCGGCGGTTGGCAGCGGCGTATGGGGCCGTGACAGAAGCGACCGGACTGCAAGGGTTTGTTCAACAGGCCGTGCTTGACGTGTTTGGAAACGCATGTCGGTGGTTCATTGAGATAATTCTTGGTGTGGCTGACGGCGGAGTTCTGTTGTAGCTTGACGGCACGAACATCAATGCCACATTCGCATGTAGTGCGCAGAGCACACATAGCCTCGAGCGTATTGATTTCGGCATCCTAACCTGGTGGGTTGGACCCTGCACGATACAAGTTTATTCCGGGGAGGCACATAGAATCTGCTGCGCAAAAGCTGAATGGTGACAAAATCCTACAACTGAGTCACTGAAGCTCCTTGCACACAGATCATGCACAGGCTCAACAAGCCGATTGTTGCTGTTGAACGACACCCATCGACACCCGTCAGCTGCATCACGGTGAGCAGGTGCACCACTGCCAGCCTTGCTGCGAACTACCAGTACGTCGAGAAATGCAGACATCATGATACGATCGATCCACAGGATGGGATCTAGGATGAGAGATGAGAGGTTTGCTACCCAGATGAAACGAATGCTGGTCATACAAAGCCTCATCTAGGGCCCTTGAACCTTCCTTGGCAAAAATGCACGCTCTGCCTCTGTCACGCCCTAGAATCGCAAAGGCCCTGGACCAAAGCACATGAATAACGCTGCATGAACATAGCAGGAGCCAGCTTGACGAGCAGTTTCACACGACAAACTAACACGCATCGTTTTAAACTTGTTATTCGCAGATGCCGAACCCGAGTTTTACCACCTTAGCCCAATCCCAAGACAGTGCGGCTTGCGACTTCGACCACGCACGGGGTCCCGGCTCCTTGTCCGGCCATAGCTGTCGTCTTCTCAAGTTATGCCACTACTGTGGCATATGGCCTCTCAGTATCCCGGTTAACAAACAGGTGGCAGGGGGATTCTGAACGCATGTGCCAGGCACCTCCAAGCGTTGAGGGAAGTGTCATGCACGGGCAGGGCCCAGGGGGGTGAGGAGAAAGCGTGTGAAAAGTATATCGATACGAATCGAGACGTGTTGGCAATGTTGCATCCGGGTTTGTGAGTCTGTGGCTGCTGCCATTTGCACCAGACGCGGCCCCCGAAGCACATGAAATGCATGGCCGAGGGGGTGCCGATGCTGCCGAGGGAGCAGTCTGCCAGGCTCTCAAGGTTTCGACTTGCATCATGCACTGCTCACTGCCGCAGGGTGCATGTGGTGCCAGGCACAGAGTCTCGCAACTTTGGGCGACTGCCAGGACGACGCCTCGCAAGGACTTCGCTAGGTTGAGCTTCAGAAATGTGCCGACATGATGCCTTGCCTCCAGCTGAGAATGCTGAGATCTGCTGAATCTTTCTTTCGGAAAGCCTTCATTCTGGGTGTAAGGTTTCAGCTCAACACGGGTGGAAGATCTGTCCAAGAGTCCAAGACATGTGTTTTTGTGCGGTCCTTCAGGCAACGAAGGGGGACCCACAGTTTGAGAAGTGCACAAACAAGGCTGAAGGCTGGCACACTATGTTAAGGCGGTTCCTGCAATTTTGGCAGGAGATAAGTCTGAATTGATATGGGGCATCGGCATGAAGCTGGCTGGAACTCTTGTGTGTGGAGGATTTCGAGAGGTGGCAGCTCCACCAGGCGGCGAAAAATCGTAGCTTTTCTTTCGGCGCCATGTGTTGGGATCGCCCCCAAGCCGAGGTTCGACAATTGAATTTAACGAGAGTCCCGTCCGCAGCTCAGCTGTGGATGGAGTCTTGCACCAGCTCAAAAGGCATGACCGGCATGAGATTATGTAGATGCCGAGGGACGACGTTCGGGAACGAGAACGTTCCGACCGTACGCTGATGCATCAGCTGCCGTACTTTTGCGCCGGCCTCTGCGCATTGGCTCAGACCATCGGCTTTCGGCTCTCGAAGCATCTCGAAGCGTCCGCTCAGGACTCCGGTGCAGCCAGCGCAATCAGGTGCGACCAACAATGAGATCAGGAGATGGTCACAGATCACGTGTGTGTGTGTGTGTGTGCAATGCGAAGGTGATGCAGTCACTGCGGGCCCGTTTCGAGGCTGACCACCGTGTAAAGTCACATCGTTTCGTGATGTTGCTCTTTCGCTGCGTGCCCGGCACCCTCCCCCAAGACACAGACAGCAGCTCACAGCTCGTCAAAGCTATTCAAAGCTGTTGTGCAGCTGTGTTAGAAGCAGCATCCTGCGCAGCGATGCGCAGGTGCTGCCCCGGTGTCAGCCGTCATGCTCTCAATATGACTTCTTAATTCTTGATGCTCCCTGACAGAATCTCTCTCTCGACTTTGGACCTTACTAGAGGTAGCTTCGGCTGTGGGCGAAGAGTACCACCACGTTAATGCCAGCTTCGCACAGTGTGCGGCTGGACCAGAGTTCATGACACAGGCAGCTATGCTCTTTGGAAACGGAGAGGAAGAGGTGTGATGCGACGCTGCCTTTAGATCTCGGAGAGGAATTGGACGAAGACGAGCTCGCAGAGAGAGTGAAGCAAAAAGTTCGAGCCCACCACTGGGGCATTGACGAGGACGCGAAAGCACAAAAGTAAACCGCAAGTTTTCGAGCAACCCCCTGCATGCACCTTTGGCAGATACTGGAAAGCGTTGGTGCGGACGTGGACTTTGAGCGTGAAGGCAGCGCTCGCCTTACGAGGCGTAAAATTCCCGGTCAAAGGTGCCATACTGTGCTGTGGACCCTGCCTCACTCAGGTCCAATGGCACGATGGTTACTTGGTCGTACCTGCGGCCGCGTCCTTGCATCGTGTACTGCACGAGTGTGTTCTGATATGATGTGTCATGGATTTCGGTTGCCCTGCGGCACGAGGTGTCCAGCGGGTCCACGTTCTGGTCGCACTGGGCTACGTGGCTTCACCTGTTGCCGAGTTCTTGACGTTCCTGACGGCCACCGAGCCCATGCCTCGGCAGTGCATGGCAGTGCCTCGCATGCCTCGGCCGCCTGGCTCATGTTGACACTCCAGGTGGGGTCTGAGAGGTGGGGAAACCGTGCCACGATTCGCCAGGAGCTGAGAAAAGCATGCTTGAGATGACTTGAGAGAGGCTAAGGCCATGTTGAAGCGATGAGCCTGATCGCAGGCCCAGCGGCTCTTCGGTGAAAAGATAGACCCTCCTGCGGACCTCTTAGCTGCCAGCACAATGGATTCAGTTGTGATGCTGCTTCCATGACGGTCACGTGGGATCATAAGTCTTCATGTAAGGAAAAATAGAATGGAGCTGTCGCACACGTTGCCAAGATCTTGAACATGTTGCTGTTTGCCATCAACGCTCTCGCGTTCAGCGTGGCAGCGCCCTTCTGGGCTGTGCTGAGCCGCCGCCGACTCGAACTAATGATGTCTGACGCTGTAAGTTGGATGGAACATGAGCAAGTGATGTACTAGTCCCTTGTAGCTTTTGTTCGGTCTATCATTATTATACCATGACGCGTGCGCAATCGTGAGCACGGTAGGTTAGAAGACGTCACCATGTTTGGAAATATCGGAGATGCTGTCGAGGCTATTTCCAGCCCAGGCGGATCATGGCAGTTAGTCTGCTGTGCTTTGCTCAGTTGCGGGGACGGGGTTGACTACTCCTCAGCACGCAAGAAATGAGCCACTGCTTAGAGCAGCTTCCAGTCAAGTGCTCCCACGGCCTGGCATGACACACGCGCTCGCAAGAGGGCCGATCACAAGACTTGCGTGATGCCTTCATCATCGCGCAGACTCATGTAGGAAAGTCCTCATGCATCTTTGTTTTCGCTCTTGTTCTTCGTGGCCGCTGTCTACGGTGCAAGGGCAATTGTTGGCATCTCTTGTTGGTGCAATCAAACTGCTGCGTGAACCGCAACGATGTGCTTTATGGCCGCATGCAGTACCGGCACGCTGATGTGCTAGGTGCTACTGTTGTGTGAAGCTTCGTGCATATTCGTGAGATGCAACAATGCTCGAACCATCATCGTCACACAGACGTGCAAGTAATCGGGATGCGTTGATATGCGTTGCAAGGCTTCAAGTGCCGCTTTTGCTGACCTTGTGGCCAATGTACCCAAGCTTTGCAGGGAACCCAGAAAAGCACGTAACTTGCGGCAGAAATCAACACATGCAGACGCGCAGGAGCTGGCTTGCCTACTGGTTTTCGCACACGGCTTGGTTTGAGCCCCAGAGAACAGTACTTGCTTTCCAGCATTGCACCCTTGTTTGGAGAGTACCGCTTGCCGTGTTCGAGGTAACGGCGTCATCGTTTTTGTTCCTCGTGTTCAACTTCATGATGTCGATCAAGGCCGTGTTAAGCGGAAACCTGTGTCCGTTGCAGCCCGGTTGTGTCTGCTGTTAAGAATCCAAAAAGCACACAAGCATAAGCATTTTTCCCTATCCTAACTTTTGCTTCTGTGCTGTTTTTTGGGGGCCCTAGTACTTGGCAACGGGACTTGCTACTTCAAATCGCATACGGTGTCCCAATCTTCTTTGTGCACGGAAGACATCATAACACGTCTCTTTGCGCACGGACACAGATCCAAGTGTGCTCGCAGATCCAAGTCGAGGGCATGCGTGCCGGTGCGGACGTTGAGTGGGACATGTTTGGCAACTTTATCCTTTGAGCCCTGCCTACACTCCCCCAGCCTGTGCGGTCAGAGGCAAAATCTTGTGTCCGAATCTAATAACACGAATGTAAGGGTTCGGTTCGGTTCGGTTCGGTTGCGGTTTGAAACAGCGGTTCAGGTTCATGCGGTTCGGTTTCTCCCGGAGGTTCCTGCGGTTCGGTTCGCGGTTCCTGGCGGTTCCTAAGTTAAATTTCATTGACCGAAGAAGGCCAATGGTCAAAGGGCTCAAAGGTGGGATCAGGGCAGGGACCGTAGGTGGGATGTTCGAAATAAAAATAATTCTGAAGATGGGGGCCCCGAAAAATAAGAACCAGTAGGGTTCTCGAGTATATCAGTATATCATTGTTATACTCGACATACAATAAAGGAACCCTCAGGTATAGCATCATGTTGAAAATATTCATTTTCATAGAGTTAACATGCGGAACCCCTGATGCGCCGTCCGGGGGTCGAGGTCCCACCAGCCACGGCCGGTCGGGCCCAGGGCTTTTGGGGCCTGGACTTCCCGCCAGACGCGCGGGAGTGCAGGGTTTTGTGCTTTTGGGCCTTCTGGACTCCCCCGCGCGGCCGGATGCGGGGGAGTCCAGCGTTTCGCGCTTGCGGTTGTGTGCCGTAAGTCGGCCGGAATCCTGGACTCCCGCCCGGCCGGCCGGTCAGGCTGGATGTGGCGGAGTCAAGGTTTTGGGTAAGTCGGCCGGAAGGACTTCCCCGCAGCCGGCCGGTGATTCAGCGCGCAACCGGCCGGCCAAGACAAGCGGGGCAGTCCACGTTTTGCGGTTTTGGGCCTTTAAGTCGGCCGGACGTGGGGAGTCGCGCGGGCGGGGTTTGACCCAGTTATTTGGGCCCAGGATTTGGAAGCCGCTTATCGCCAGCACCCTGTGATACCCTGTGGAGAATCCCGACCATTGCTTCGTTGTGCTGATGACATATGTACCGGCACCGAGTGGCACGCAGATGCATGCAGTCTGTAGACTTTATCAGGCAGAGATGCTTGTCGACAGGGTGGGACATGTGTGTCTGTTTCCTGACAAGGCCGTTGACCAGCCCAGAAGCAGGTCACTGGATTGATTGGCATTGTCTCTGACGTACAACCCAGATTGCCAGAGCATTCATCACGGTGATGGTTGATGGCGTTCGGCTCATCAACTGACCATTAATAAACATCAATACTACGTAATTAGTACTACGCTGGGGGGCCCAAAGTTGACAGGCCCAAATGGACTTGGGAGCGAGATTAAATCCACCGGTGGACTGACAACAGACTGTTGGACGAGCTGCCGAGCCTTGTTAGACATCATTCTGTTAGCAGCACCGCGCGTACTTGGCCTCAAAACGAGGCAGCATGCAGGCAACAAACCCACACCATGTATCCCCTTCCAGATAGGCCTTATGA